TTTGTTTAAGATTTTGTTTATAGATTTTTTATCTTTTCTTTGTATTCAAGTGGCTAGTTTCTTGTGTTAATGATTTTAGGAAAATGTCTTAATTATGCGTTCAATTTATATTTATGAATATAAATCTTCATTATAATTTTAAATATTTCATCTTATTTTAATAAAAAAAATAAAAATTGCATAAAAATATAATTAAATAACATAAATTAAATATATAATACATAGATAAAATTTAGACAAATAATTTTTTTTGATTTAATAAGTAATGTTTATGTCAAACTAACATTTAAAATTAAAAAATATGAAAATTAAAAAATGATCAAATTAAATATATAGATTAAATTTACAATTCGCATATAGTATAATGATTAATAGAAAAGTCGATCTTATTTGTACGAAGATAAACATATGAAATCTTTTAAAAATAATCTAGGATAGACATTTGATGCGCTACACTAAATTTTCATATTTTACAAGAGAAATTAAACAATTGTTATGGTTTTTTTTTATAAAAAAATCATTAAAAATGTATAATTAACTCATAGAATAAATATGGAAAACACTCGACCATTAGCGTATAGATAATTATTATTATTTTTTTAAAAGAATTAATCGTATCACATATCTTTAAATAATTATTTTTATTCTAAATTAATTCCTAAACTTTTAAATATTGTAATTTCATCCTTAGACTATTACTAGTATTCTAAATTAGTCCTCAAATTTTTAAATACTTAAGTTCTATCCCTAAAATATTATCTTCATTTTAAATTGATTTCCAAATTTTGTGAACATTTTAATTTCATCCTAAATCATATTTATATACTAATCACCTCCCTTGTTAATAATAAATGATGGGTTGAATGATGTTCCCACATGATGTTAATAATAAATTAGTCCTGCCACTTTTTTCACCACTGAAATCCCCAAATGTTCGCATCATTACTAAATTCCCAGTACGATCTTAATGCCTACATCGTGTAATGCTCTTAATACAATTATAACGCGCACGTAAATAATATAAAGTTGTAAAGAAGAAAAGAATGAAAGTAAAACTGGAAGTGCAACCCAGTCTTAATACAATTACTTCTATTTAATGTTATGATGTGACTTGAAACAACTCGCAATAAAGTCGATCAGAAATACATCTCTTTATTTATTGATCTTTGTCTAGTGTCTATATATATATTTAAAAAAGTCTAAATTAATACAAAGGAAATGGATTTTGAGGTAAAATAATGATGCCATTTGATTATTTGCTGCAACATTGAAATGAAATAATAATATTAAAAGTTCAACTGAAAGCATCATTGAAGTGGAACTCAAACACATGTTAAAACCCTATCAACTTTTAATGGTAGCTCAGTGTACATTTTCATGTTTTTGAAGAAGTGATGTGAGGTCTCCTCAACGCTAGCTGTTACTTTTGGGCAAAAGCATTGTCATCTGATGGCATTTTTGTAAGTTTTTGAGATTTGATGGGCTGTTTTGACGAAGGCCAAAGAAGCATTAATTTGTTTAGAACATTGGTGAATCTGATGGGGAAGAATTCACCAAATCAAGGATGCTGTTCCAATAGTTGTTGTTGTTGTCTTCACAGTGATCATCGCTTCCTCCACTGCTTCCATCGGATTCTTTGCCACTATCTGATAAACTGGGGTCGGTGGAATCGTTGAGAAGAAGGTTAATGAACCCATCTTCCATTGTGTTTCCGATATCATCATGGATGCTTGTTGAAGTGAAGGATAGAGAATTAATGTTGTCCATGGCCAAATTAGTTCCTTTCCATTCTTGTTCACCTTCTTGTTTTATGATTCCGGTCTCGGATGAAGCCGATGCGGTGCAGGTAAACTCGTTCATCGGCATCGTACTCGGTCCGATCCCATTTTCCGAGGAAGTCAGTGTTGATTTAGGTGACTCGAGGTCACCGAATCCAGCATTGTTAATACTATTCCAAGCCGTCTTATTCACAGGCTGAGCAGCCGAAACTGAAGAAGGAAAGGCTGTTGTTGTTGGACGAGTGAGGAGGTTTTGAAACGAACGTAGCTTTGATTCTCGAACCAATCGAGCTTCGGCTTCAAGCCTAGCACTTTCCCACTGAGCCATATGGCTAAGGTTCGCTGCATTCTTGGATTGATTAGCATCGGTACCGGAGAGTAAAGCATCGGATTTGGGCTTGTGAGTGATGGGATCGATCCCCATTTTGGCTAGCCTCTTCTTAAGATGAGTGTTCCAGTAGTTCTTTATCTCGTTATCTGTTCTCTTTGGCAAGTGAGTCGCTATAGCAGACCACCTGAAACACAAAACCTAGAGAACATCAACTTCCCAAACACCAGTTTCTTCCATGTTTCAGTCATCTAACAGATAAACAAAACCATGGATCACATGGACAAGAAAATGAAAGGAAAGTTTAGGTCATAAGGTTTCAACTGAATGCAAGAGGATTATCAACTTAATTTGAGAAACAGACAAAACTGTCGGTGTTGATGATTTTTGGACCTGTTCCCTAAAAGGGCATGGAGCTGAATGATGGTTTGTTCTTCTTGGAGACTAAACTTTCCTCTCTTGATATCAGGCCTGAGATAATTAGTCCATCTAAGCCTACAGCTCTTCCCACATCGTTGAAGACCTAAAACAAACAAGTAAAAAAGAAGCAAAATTTGAGAACGAAGTAGCCTTTTACTACTACTATTAGTAACCACGAAAAGTATAAGAAGTAGGGTTTATTAGTTCAGTGACCAGCTTTGGCAGGCAAGGCACGCCAGCTTCCATGGCCATGTTCTTCAATGTATGCTAAGAGCTTCTGATCTTCTTCTGGTGTCCATGGTCCTTTCTTCAACCCCACTTTGTCACAGCAAGGTGATCTCCCCATTGGGTATACAATATACTGAAATTAAGTGTAAGAGTGAGAGAGAGAAGAAGGAAGCTTGTGCTTGTAAATGAAGAGATGGGCAGAGAATGAATATAAAATAACATTGCACTGAGGAATTTAAAAACCCTAGTTTACTACCATTTCTTCCAAGAATGGACCAAAATTTTTTAAAATTATATATATATAATTTTTATTAATTTAGAGTGAATATAAAATAATATTTGTTTAGAGACTCGCTATTATTTTATAATGAACGCTCATATTCTCTTGCATACATTATATTTGAACCCATGACCTTAAGAGATAACAATAATATTTTAACTACCGAGATAGTTTGGCTCATGCTAAATTTTCTATTTTAAATTTTTCTTTTTATTTTCTATTAATAATCTATTTTTAACTTCTAAAATTTTATAATTTTTTCTTAATACAAAATCACGGGTTCATCCTTTATTATTTTAGTATATAGGCTTTACTTTACTTGATTCATAGGGCAACCCAAACCATTGTCCCATATGTGTATGGCCAAAATGGAGATTTTGAAGGATTTTTTTGGGTCCTCACAATTAACCAAGGCAAAGGGGTAGTAAATGGTATGGGGTCAGATCTATAATTTCAAACCCTTTTCTCTCTCTCAAAAATTTTCACCACATTACATTAGTCACGGTGATGGTGACATTTCCTTCTCAAAATTTTGACCCTTTTTTGAAGATATATTAATTAGCTACTAAAGTTGAATTTCAATTAAAACAACAATTAATAAAATGTTTTTTTCAAATCATTTCTGTACTTTACGGAATATAAAATTATTTATAATCAATGTAACATTATTTGAAATATAATTGAGAATGTTACACTGTATTATTTAAATAGAGGAATATAAAATTATCTAGATATAAATTTTATCATATTATCTTTATAATATATTTTCTTTCAATTTAAACTATCAATATTAAATTAAAGCAGTCATATTAAATTTATAAAATTATTTATGTTATGATATCTAATAAAAACTTTATTGTAGCAAAAAAATATAATAGATATTTTATATGTAACATATTATTATTAAACAATAGTTTTAAAAAGTTACATAAGTAAATATCATGTATTTACTTTTATAATAGTATAAAAGTTTACATCAGTATTTTAAATTTTAATATAATATTAATATTATAGTGATTACTATTGTTATATTATTATTATATAACCACCAACTCTAAAATTGTAAATATTGAATGACATATAAGAGCTTGATAATTCTTAAAATTAATTATTCAAGTATTTTTTTATTAAAAAAAGTAATAATTGTTTTTATTACCATTAGCATCAAATTCCTTGTTAAAAATCTTTCTTGATAATTTTTAAATTAATTATTTGAACTTATTTTTATTAAAAAAAGTAATTTTAGGCTTAATTAGTAAAAAAAACTTCCGATAAATAATAAAATAAATAAAGTAAGCTCCTAATAAAAAATATCAATTAAGCCCTTCGAATTATGAATTGCAATCAATTGAGTTCTTCTGTTGATACCTCTAACAACCTCTAACAATCTGATAGGTGATGTCGCGAACGGTGATGTGGCAACTAACGTGAAAAATAATGACGTATGAAGGCTTAATTGGGTGTTTTATGAATTGGAAGATGATGAATGATGCTAGTTGCCCCATCATCACTTAACGAACTATTAGGGGATTTGACAAAAGAAAATGACTTAATTGATTGAAATTCATAATTCAAATGATTTAATTAGGTGTTGCTTTTCGATTAGCGACTTACATGTGTGGAAATGTGGTTTGATACATCATGAATCGGCTCTAAAATGGTGCTAAAAGGGTCTAATGCTACACTTGAAAAGCTGTGGTGGCACAAAATTATATCGTGCTAAGAGACCGTGAAGCTCCTTTCCCACCGCCGGGATTCAGGCGTTACCTTTTCTTCTCTACTTATCTTGCTATTCCTTAGTTACAAAATCATCTGATATCGATGCATTACTTTTTCATACGTATTTGGGCACTCTTTAACAGCATATATCAATTTAAATTCTAAACCTTGTTTATTTGAGGATATGACCAAATTCATCAGTTTTCATTGATTTCTTCTATTTCCTTGTAAATTTGTTATTTTGGAACGTGAGATGTTAATCTCAAAACCATCCATTAGCACAGGAAAAGTGCTAATCCAAACTCAATATCCAAATAAAATATACCTCAGTGCTAACCAAAATCCTTAATACTACAGAAAATCCATAACCCCTTCCTTTGCTGCAGACCAATCATTCAAGAGTTCGGCTAGTGATTGGCTGCTATTGAATCCACCAATCCACAACCCCTATTCCTGAAATAAACAATATGACCAATTACCAGATTGGCCAAAAATCCAAAAATAGAACATGAACATAAAATAATTTAAATTGTCTATATAAAAATCTAATATGAGAACATAGACAATTCAGAATCCTCAAAAAAAAATTATATATATCAACATACTTGTTCCATGGGTGCAGCTTCTTCATTCTTTTCTTCATCCATCTTATCCGGTTCAGCATTGGCCTCATTCTGATTATCAGAATCCCCCTTTTCATCTCCCCCTTTAGCAACATTGGTATCAAAACCAGGAATGTTCAAATCTGCAGGAAGCTGACCTGTCTTTAATGCCTGCTCAACCAAAGAAACATCCAGAATGTAAAAGTTAAAATTAATAAAAAAAATCTAAACGACAGTTATCTTTAAAAGCCACTCGTGCAATTGTTAAGCAACCACCTTTTCAAGTCTTGCAACCTCTTCCAACGTCTGAGAATTCACAATGGCAGCCTGCATGTCAAATAAATATAAACAAGATCAGACTTTAGCCATAAGGATGCACTACAAAAGATGCACAAGTCATTTACAAATATGACATAAGTTACCAATGACCATTTATGCAGTTTAAGCAACGAAGAAAATAAAAATGCAAGCTTTAGCAAGTTAAAAGGTAGTGCACAAGGAAAATAATTTTGCAAATTGATAAATACTGCTTTTGCATTTTAAACCCGAGAGCCAAAATTTACTAATGTCAGAGGGTTGCTCAACCATTCCAAAAAGTACCCTCATTTAGATGCATTCTTACTGGACATGTATGTTTCCTTCCTATTAATGTTGCTGGTTAGATGGGTTAGCGAAAGAGGGTGGATGCCAGTAGCCACATTCTTAAAATATATGTAAAATATTTAAGCTCACATAGACCATCAGAGGGTGTCTACTTGAAGTGCTTCTCTTAATAACTCATTAGGCATCTTCTTGTTCAATACTTCTGTTGGTTGTCCTTTTTGACTTAGACCAAAAATATAATATACAAACTATCAAAATCGCCGTATAGAAGTCTCATTTGTTTCGTTCAATTTATTTTCTTAGATTATAACAGAAACTAAAGAGAATGATAAAAATACATTACTGGAAATGTTCACACTTCACAGTGTACATTAACAAGGTAATTTTAAATATTCATGCATCAAATCAGCAGTCACCATCACCAACCTCCATTAAGAGCAAGATTGGGTCTGAAACTGACACAATCCACTAACAAGAGAAAAGAGAAGTAAAAAGTACTCGAGTTTGTGTCACCCACATTGTGTAATTAAATTGGCAACTATTTAAAACCTCTCCAAATCTTTGGTAATACAAATCAAACTCAAGAAAGTTATAAAAATCCTCAAGGAAAAAAACAATTAGGCCTTAACTATGAAGCTTTCCATGAATTGCTTTGAATGAGAAGATTACTGATTCTATGTTTGGTTAGAAGTAAAGGGGTAAAGGAAGCGGGAAGAGCGGGGTAGTGTACTCTCTCCCATGTTTGTATAACATTCAATTTTATGAAGGGAATTGAAGGGTGTACATGACATAACTAAAACCTTCATATTTTAAAACCCTTCAGATGATCAAGAAAAATTATCAATTGAACACTAAAAACAATCAACATTATTATCCAAGTTTTAAGTAGCATTACGAATAAATAGGCAATACCTTGATAGCTATAATTTGCTCAGGTGTGGGTGCAACCACTTTTGGCGTCTCTTCTTCCTCTGCAACTTCCGAAACATTTGGAACCTCTTTTGGTGCAACTGTCTTTGCAGATTCTTTCTTTATTTCCTCTTCAACTTCTTTGGATGCAAAGAGGTTTTCAGCTTCTAGTCTCTCCTGTGACCCATGAAGCATAATTACGATAAATTAATCATATGATAAGCTACACGAGGAATATAAAATATGCAAAATTAGAACATTTAGCCCCACCCCCTTTTCCCCCACCCACCCAAAGATGCAGAAAAATTGCTTAACCAACATCAAATCAATAATTCAATCCTACAGCAAAGTATTTCTTTGTGGAATAAGTTAAAGATGGCAATACCAAATCATTAGGTTTAAATAAAAAAGGCATTAGGTTAAAAAAGATCATTTTTATTTTGCACAAAAGCGGAACTTATGATATATTTTCCCACTCATGACTACACCTATGATGGAGGCAAACCATTCTAATATCTAACACTGTTAACTAAAATAACATTCTAAAATCTAACGGTGTTCCATTGCTAATATAACTCAAATTCAGTCAGAAAAAAAACGGCACTTCATGAGCCTACATGAAACTAACCACAGCAATTTCACATATCTAAACATGATAGGAAACAGAAAATGCATAATAGAACAGATTAAAACTGTTTAAAAAGACAAAGTAATTTTGTAGCATATCCAATCACCTTAGCCTTCACTTTCTTGAAATCTAGAACACGAAGTGATTTGAGTTTGTGAATCACATATAACCTATAATTAGGTTTTTTCGTAATATTGTTATCCAACAGGCTAAGGAACTGCAGCTTAGGAAGTGATGCAAGAGGATCAATCTCCACCAAGTTAACCAGCCGATTATTTGTGAGAACCAACGTATGTAATTTCGGCAAGAACTCTGCGGGACAAGGGAAATGTGAACTTCATAAGAGTCGTCCACCCAACAACATTTAAAAGGCAAAGGGAACATGCTACAGTATCAGGGAAATCCAATTATTGGTTCAAAGCTTACCTCCAATATTGGGATTGATACGGGTTACTCGGTTGTTGTTTATAAGTAAGGTGCCCAAGCGTTTAAGATAAGGGAAGTTGTCCAGCTTCACTATCTCATTATCAGACAAATCAATGGTATCAAATTGGTCCTGTCAAAATGAACAAATGTAACCAAAACCCACAAGTAAATCAAAGCAATGAATGCGCTAGAAATGGCCACAGACAAAGTAAAACACACCTCGGTAGCACCCAAGTTCTCTATAACAGCAATTTTGTTACCTGAAACGGGAAAAGAGAAAAGAGATTAAGTACTAAAGAAAGGGAAGCTTGAGAACATTACTATTAGGGTTAGGGTAGGAACGGAAAAAAAGGAGAAGCAGTACCTCGAAGATCCAATTCTCGCTCTTTAAGGGGATTGAAGAAGTGAGGACACTTCCATATCAAGTCAGCCGTGAGTTTCACCATACCTACCTTCTTCTTTTTCTCTCTCTTCGTCTGCTAAAACCTTAAACCGCCGCCGCTGTCTTGCAGTAAATGTGGGAGCGGCGAGTCCACTACTCTGCCTCTTTGCGCCTTTACTCTCCTATTGAGTGAATAAAAGATGGACTTCGTTGCAAATTCTTCTTTCTTTGGGCTCCGTTCGTTGCAAATTTCTGCTTTCTTTGGGCTCCGTTTTCATTTTCATTCGCCCGATTTTAAAGAGAGGTTAAACGACAGCATTTTGTAGCAACTAAAGGTGTTTACTGTTTACTTTGGAAGTTATGTTGTGCGGCTAAAAAACGGTTAAAAATGACGTGATTGGTTAAACAAGTGACCGGTTATGTTATATCATTTAACCGGAAATATTATCAAGTACAATAACATAATAGGTAGAGCTTATATAATGTAATAGGTAGCGGTTATATAATAAAATAAACATTTAACCGAAAATATTATTAAGTACAATAATATATTAGATAACGCTTATATTACCTATTTTCTAACTAAACCGGTATATTTATACGGTAACATTGCAAATTTACCTATTACATTATAATTATCGGTTTCGATGTTTTGGGATCGATACAATTTTAAATGTATCGACACTTTATGTGTGCACCTCGTTGGACATTCTTTCTGGAAAAAAAAATATCGACACAAACTTAAAAAGTGTCGATACATTGTGTAGACTTATTTTCTCATAAAACCGATATATTTCTATCGGGTGCATTGTAAATTTACCTATTACATTGTAATTATCGGTTTCGATGTTTTTAGGATCGATACTTTTAATAACTGTATCGACACTTTATGCGTGCACACCGTTTGACACTCATTATGGACAAATTGTATCGACACAAATTTAAAAAGTGTCGATACATTATGTTGACATTCTCTCATAAAACCGGTATATTTATACTGATTACATTATAAATTTACTATTACATTATAATTATCGGTTTCGATGTTTTTGGGATCGATACTTTTAATAAATGTATCGATACTTTATGCGTGCACCTCGTTTGGGCATTCATTCTGGACAATAAGTATCGACACAAATTCCACAAGTGTCGATACATTATGTTGACCTATTTTCTAATTAACCGGTATATTTATACGGTTACATTGTTAATTTACTATTACATTATAATCGATTTTTGGGGTCGATACTTTTAGGAAATGTATCGACATATGTTTACATATTCTTTGATTAAATCGGTATTTTACATATTAATTTATAATAATTGGCTTCGATGTTTTGAGGATCGATACTTACAATAAATGTATCACACTGTTTTGGAAACTTTATGTTTGAGAACCATACTAGACAAAATGTTGGAAACAAATCTTTGTGTTTACTATTTTTACCACCTACATTGTAAATTTACCTATTACTTTAAAGTTATTGAATTTTGTAGTTATTGTACATACTAAATATGTCTGCGAATTTAATGTTGTACCCATCCTTCAACTACCACTACAATACCACATCTTATTGAGAGCACGACTGAAACATGTTGTTCGATGAACCTTTACTTACATCTCCATCAACTCCTGTTGGGACCACTGAACTTGCACAACAAAATTTTTGTCATGGATCATATTGATGCAGACAATGTTAAGCCAACCGAGGAATGCCATGAAGTACATAATGTTGATGAATATGACAGATTGGTTGGTCAGCTCTTCTCTTCACGTGATCAAGCTTGGTACTTTTACAAGGGATTCGTACGTGAACATGAGTTTAGTGCACATCGGGGAACAACACGGCTTGACGTGGAAGTGAATGTGAAGACACAAGAATTTTGTTATTCCAAAGAAGGGTTTCGAGTATCAAAAGTCAATATTGTTGATCGTCAACGTGCTCATTCACTAGTCACAAGAACATGATGCAAGGCTAGAGTTGTAGTTACAACAACAAATACAAACGATCACAGGGTTATAAGTAAGTCTTATCATAAACATAATCATGCATTGTGTACACCTGCTATGACATCATTTATGCGTTCTAATAGAGCTGTAAGTAAGGCTGATATCGATGAGGCAACAACATTGAAAGAGGTCGGTGTTGGCACATCACAAGTAATGAACTATTTAACGCAGCAGGCAGAGGGCTATCATAATGTTGGATTTATACATAAAGACCTCTACAATGCACTTTAAAGAGGTAAAGCAGAGGAAATCGTCGATGGGGATGTGAATGCGCTCATTGCTTACTTTGATTATAAGAAACATGATGATCCCGGGTTTTTTTATGACATACTCGGTAGAAGAATCAAGGGCATTGCATAATCTTATTTGGTCGGATTCTACATCGAGATCAGATTACACATGCTTTAGTGATGTAATTGCGTTTGATACAACGTACAAAGATAATTTGTATGGTCGACCAATTATGCCTATTGTCGATGTCAATCATCACCATAACACAATTGTGTTTGCTACTTCCATAATCGCTGACGAGACGTCTCAATCTTTCAAGTGGGTGCTACAGAATTTTTTAGAAGCCACGATGAATAAATCGCCTATTTCAGTTGTCACGATGGGGATAGGGCAATGCATAGGCTATCAAATCTATCCCTTATGCTAAGAACATATTATGTTCTTGGCATCTTTCTCGCAATGCACAACTAACATTGGTGACCCAAAATTTACAGCAGCATTCTTAAAATGCATGGCTTCCTGGTGAACAACCGACGAATTTGATATTCAATGGTGTTCAGTTGTTTCAGAATTTAACGTCGAAAAGCATCCATGGGTGATTGAGAAGGGAAATAATCAGAACTTATGGGCACAATCATATCTAACCGGTAATTTCTTTGCCAATATTCGCTTAACATAAAGGTGCGAGTCTATGACTGCTTCACTCACGTTTGCACTAAAACACAAGAGGACATATTTAGATGTTGTTTGTGCAATTGAAGATGTAATTAGTAGAATGCGTATGAACAAGTTGAAAGTGGATTACTTAAGTTCCCAGAGGAAACCCTTCCAGATCAAAAACCTAGTTGACCTTGAAAGCCATGCTGTTGAGATTTATACGCACGAATCTTTTTGTGCGTTCCAAGAAGAACTTCAACGGGAGACATTGTACCGAATTCAAGAAGAGATTCAATCCTTATCAGATGAATGTCAAAATTATAATTTGACAAGTAAAAACAAAATAAGACATTTGAAATTAGTTTTGATTATCGTACAAAAACCCTAAATTACTCATACAGAAAATTCAAGACTGTCGGACTTCATGTCGCCATCAACTTCACGTTTTGAAGAACTTGGATTACACATATTTGCCTGGGTCTTTGATTCAAAGTAGGTGGACTAAGGATGCGAAGGCTTCTGCACCCAGTTTTGTTAACTTGAATGTGCCTCCAGACGTAATGCAAATGGAAAGGTTCACTACTCTACGTGCAACGTCAAGTAGGTTATGCTTCATTGCATCAAAGACAGACGTGTATTTTAAAACCGCAAGAGATGAGACGAAAAGACTAACAGAAGAATTTGAAAACTTGTTTGGTTTGAATAATTAGTCAACCGGAGCAATGTAGAAAACAACGTTCGCGACCCTAAACGAAAATAACACAAGCGAAAAGAAGAACCAAATAACAAGGTCGAGAAGAAAATTAGGCGATGTGGGTTCTGCAATGGTTAGGAACATAACAAACTAACATGTCCTCAACTCAAGCTCAGTTTGGAAACAAGAACACAACCTACATCAACTGATTTTTTCGAAGACAAAATAGAATAACCATTCAGTCCCGCACATGATGACAATTATGTTAGTGACATTTGGAATAATGCAGACAACGATCTCCATATATCGTAAGTATCAATATTCCATCCGCATCATCACATAAATGCCAAACAATCTGTAGAATAGAGTCTCCCATAAATCATGGCCTAAATCAGTTCTGTAACTGGATTAACCAGGTTAATCAATATTGGCTGCATAGCCAATAAAACCTGGGGGTCCAAATGGTAAGCTAGGAATTGGTAAAGTAAGCTTCCTTTGAGGGTTTAGGTACTGAATCCCTCCAACGTAAAGAGTGCATGATTGAATATTACATATAATAGTTGTATTCAGTTGTTGAAGAATTGTTCTTAATTTTATATAAGGATAGTTGTAATGATATTCGTTCACGTTTCGAGACCAATTAGTTAGATGCATGCAGTACCCTATATCCTCGAGGTAGATCACAAGAAATCTGGCACTTAAAGATTTACCAAGAGCGGTAGCTTTTGGTCTGAATGAAGGCCGAACCTAGAATCAACTTTGCAATTATGCCTATCATGATTGCAGTTGTGTGCAAATCCTATCAGTTAGATGTATGCAGTACCCTTACTCTATTTTCCCACTTTTTGTTAAATCAAAAAGACTTTATAAAATGTTTTTAAACAAGGTTTTGAAAAATTAGCCAATTGATATTTAGATAATGCTTAAGCTGCTAAGATCACAATCAAGAGAAATATTAGCCATTAGTTTTATAAATCAATATTCATAAATTATATGCAATGGTAATTGGTCATATTCTAAATGATGCAAAAACCAAGATAAACATTAAATTCAAATTAAAAATTCAACCAAACCAAATATATAAAAATAAGCATTCAAGTTCAAACATCCATAACATCCATAAATCAATCCAAAAACATCTAAAATGTTTTAACAATAAATCCTAAGTTCAATCTAAGAAAACAAAACAAGGCAAGGTCTAATATAGGTGGATCGTGAGGAGAAGGATAATGTGCTCGTATCTCGAGTGTAAGCGCATTTAATCGTTCGTTCATAGCTTCATTGTTTGCACACATCTCCCATTGCTTTCCAATTATTGAGTCCCCATAGCGGTTAAATGGGACTCTATAGAAGCAAACCTCAGATCAAATGACTCCAAAAATGATCGAAAGTATGGAGGCATTTGATCATCTTGTTGTGCCGCCTCGTCCTCGGGTACGTGATTTTCAATATCTTATATAAGCTATTGAAGCTTTGGATCATCGTCATCTGTCGGTGCCGGAGGAGCTCGTGAAGAACTAGCTCCTGGTGTTTTCTCGATGGATCGAACCCATTGGTCCTTTTCCTTCTTCCATCCCGATTTCTTTAAAGATGTGAGATTTATTTGGTTCTGGAAAGGGATGGGAATATCA